CATGACAGCTGCCATCTTGAAAATTTTTCTATCACCACCTCTCTTGATGGCATTGTATTGAAGTTCATCACTAATAAGCAAATTGTTGTGTATTGTCCACAAAGTTTAAAGTTTGACTTTTGTCACATTCAAAATGGTCGCTTTGGTAACTGTCTTAAAACCATATCACCAAGAGTATCGCTTCTTTTCCCAAGAGAAAAGTTGAATTAGCAGGCTTTCACTAATAAGTAGTACCTTCTACTGAAATTCAACCAGTGCCACATTCATGATGGCTGCTATAGCTGCCATCTTGAAATTGTTTTTTATCTGAAGTGAAAAGACTGTATGGCTAGTGTATGGTATTGAAATGGTCCTTACTGAAGTATGGCCCTATTCCACATTCAAAATTGTTGCCATAACCCGAAGTGATATGTGAGTTTGTTAATTTCTCTTAAGTTGTTTGTGGTATTGACAGTAATGTCAGAGAAGGATTCTTTCTTCAGAAGTGGTAGATGGTATCAAAACTTTAATGTGTCATCTGACAGAAATCTTGAATATCAAACCAAACCAAAGGTGTGACATACACAGTTAAATCTCATATTGAACTTGTCCACAATGTTACAGATCCAGTGAGTAGAAACAGTGATAGCAATCTTCACAATATCCAAAATGGTACTGGCTGACCATGATCTTGAGTAAATGAACATTTGAGAACGTTTGCTACCAATACTGACCAGACCCAAAAAGTTACAAAATAATTTCAAAGTAATTGTCAGTCGTTCTTGAGGATTAATGGCAACAAAAAGTATGTCAAAATCCAAAATCCAGCATACAGCCATCTTGAATATCCTATCAAGCTCAAAATGTGGTACAACTGCAGAACATGCCATACTGAGTATGTCCACAATGTTTCTAGATCCTTCAAATGGTTTTTCAAAAATTTGCTGCTGGCAGTCATTTTGGATACGAAATAAAACCAGAACATTATACTACTTATACACCGAGCTGAAGAAAAAATCTGATGCAGTTCTTTCCCAGCAGTGGTAGCAAAGTCCATGTGTGAAAATTGGAGATTGAAACTGGTGGCCATCTTGAATTTCCGATCAAACTCAATGTATGGTATGCCAAGCAAGGACAGATACTGATTGCGTTTCTTAACTTTCCAGAAGATCTATATTCTTGATAAAAATTTATTTACCGGACGAACTGATTGACAAATGTAAAAAAGAATCTGATGACGATGAGAGTAAGACTCCTTGCGCTCTTCATTTTGGGCCAAAAAGTGTGATTAGTATAACTTTGAATAACTTGTTGTGCAAATGTTGTAAAATGAATAAAGTTTACTTTTATTTGGTATACCATTTAATTCTGGCGAGTGGTTTACCTGTACATTCTGGGTACTATCAATTTTATCAAAACACCAGACGTTTACAACCTATATAATTTTCATTTAAAAGAGGATACAGTGCTATTTAAGGCAGTCTTTGATAAGAGACAAGGACTTGTGATAGGTCCAATCAATTTAAACTTCAAGGATCAAGAAAGTTTATCAATAGAGTTTCTTATTATGTACAATTGGTATTTTAAGACCACCCTTCCCGGAGGATTTTTTATTTGTATTCTTAAAGCCATAAACAATTCTGATAGCAACTGATGTTTTAAATCTAAAAAGAAAATGGCTGAAAGATGGGAGTCATTTTTTTCTGATAGGAACAAGATAGCATTGTTAAATATAGGCTTATGAACATGAAACTACATCATCATACAGGTGACGCCTTCTCGTGGCCATTCCTGGAATCGATCCCCCTGCCCCCAAACACCCAAGTGAAAGGCGAGTGAGTGACCACTGCACACTGCTTTGACCATATATGGCTGTATTCTATACTATCTATCAATATATCTAATTTTAAGACCATTGTAAAATGACCAAATAAGAATAAAATGCTACACATCTTCAATATCTCCTAATTACATTTTTGACATATTCTTTCATTTCTTGGTGTACTTTTTTATATCTACGTTTTTTCTATACGAAGATCACGTGATGATCACCTAAATTTTGCAATTACGAAAACCTATCACTCTTGTGAAGATTTCCTAAGATAGTACTGAAGATAATTAACATCTGGTAGAAAACTGTATACAAAAATTTAGAAGAGTTTTCAAAATATTTTTTTTTTAATTTTGTACATAAACATCAACCAACCGTTGTTTAACGTCGAGTATAAAACTGATCGGTACAACAAATAAAAAAATATCCAAAAACAAGAGAAACTAATAGTATTTTTACATTACTGAGCCAATTTGTCTTTGAATCAGATACAGATTACATGTCATTATACAAGACTTTCAAGACAGTTTTCCAATAGTTATAGTCAATACTTAATCATTCTTATTTACGAATTACTGGAAATGGTAATCTAACAAGTTCAGCATATTGTTAGGAGTACATTTTACCATCTGCAAAAATCTGTATATTTTTTTCTGCGGCAGGGGCGACAACAAAATCCCAAATTTCACAACCGTAGTTCAACACACTAAAGACATAAGTATCAAAGATAAGTTTTCGTTTCAAAATTTAAAAAGTTGTGATTACATATATTCATTATAGAATACACACATTTTCGACCCTGTTGGCCAATAATACTCCGAGTTTTATCAAATTTTAGTTCTGGTGAATAAATCTATAAACTATAGATTGTAATAAACATTGTTTTCGGGAGTTATATACACTCGACATATGTACAAATCTGATTGCGACAATCCAGATATTTTTATCTAAACTACTCAAGTGTCCCAACTAACGAGAAACAGTTAACTGGACAAATATTTCCTGTACAAAACAACCAAACAACCACCAGAACCACGAGAATGTGGGAAGAGTCCTTAGCTCGAAATCCGGAAGGAGTGAAAGGTCAAAGTTCAGTCTCTGCTCAATTCCAGCATTCACACTGGAGTGTCAAATCCTGGTCAATAATATGTCAACGAAATCACGTTGACATATTTATTTTGTAAGTTCCTATTTGGTGACCAGCCTCCACGCATCCCTACCGTCTTTCTGGACGTGCCGGATTATACAGGGTCCGGTTTATGGTATATATATAATTTATCCGGCGTAAACTAGTATACACTGCCAATCCTGGTTCCACTTGCGTTTCATTACGCCGGAAACTCATTGCGTTTAATGTTTATTTCAACAAGAATTTGCTCGTTCATATAGAAGATCTTTGGGTCGTTTCCGGACATCATGACGGTGCTTGTAGTCATGAAACTTGGCGACGTTCGGACGAAGCGAACCTCTACCGGCTGTGATGCACTCAGCAGACGACATTTTCAACTTGTCCACTGGGAATGGTTTAAGAATTTGTTCCGTTACATCCGGCGCCTCGTTAGGACGTTCCGATTTGTCAGTGAAGATTAAATTATCCCGCGTGGATCGTGCTTTTTTTTTTTACACCAATCAATTCATCTTTCGTTGAAAGGAAGTGAAATTCTCCTGGACCAATGAAATATCTGTGATTTTGTGTAGCTATTTTTTTTAACACATTAAGTTGACAATCGAATCAAATTCATGGAAAGTAGAAAATGTTAAAAATCAGTTTAGCTGTTTATTGTACAATCTGATGAAAATACTTAATGAACGGATAATATTGGAGTGGTTCATTAAGATCTGTATTTTAATCAGGTTGTTTATTGTAAATGATGTATTAGAATTAACAAGTTGTAATTACCAAATAACACTAATTAGATATGTTACACACTAATCACTTTTCTTGGTAGCAGAGATCTTCCATTTTGGTAATTAATTATCATAAACACGCACAAGTATACATATAAGCCAACTTAGGTGCGTATAAGGTATAACAGTATTTAACACCTCTTTGGCCCATTGTACCTTAAACATAACAACGATGAAGAAAATTTATAAAGAGAATGGTAAGCAGGTTTAACATACGGGTCACATGTACATAAATAGATAACTTTCTGTTAATGTTAGAGTAAAATGACAAATTGTAATCACATTTTCTTTTTAGTCCACCAGACATCTGATCGCCCTACATCCGTTGTCCGTCCGTCCGTAAACATTTTTTATTATCGCTGTTAACGGAGAAGATGAATCTTTCTCAAATTTCATATGTAGGTTTCCCTTGGTCCCTAATTGTGCCCGTATGATTTTGAGACTGATCAAAAAACAAAATGGCTGACAGGCGGCCATATTGGATTTTTCAATGAAGTTTGTTATAACTATTTCTTGAGAAATACTGCATAGATCTTTCTCAAATTGCATGCATATGTTCCTCTTGGAGCCCAATTGTGTCCGTTGGATTTTGGGACTGATCAGAAGAAATAAAATGGCTTGAGACGACCATTTTTTGGATTTGGCAGGTAAAGAACATCATCGCTATTTCATCGGCTGCAAAGGAATGTTCAAATTTCTTATCATTGAGAGCAAAAATAGAGAAGAGAAAAAATGGAAAAGATCCAACTTTCAATAAGCATGTAAAGATCAAACAATGGTGGACGCCATTTATATAGTAAAGACTGAACTATCGCAGCAAAATAAAGGTTTTCAGATACCATTGAATATTGCTTATAGCAGCCGGAGGCTATGTTTTACACTGATATTAGATTGTAATATAAATATCTTCGTCAAACAAACCAGGACAACATTTTGTTCAACTCAGGGATGCATTATAATGATATAGAATTGCATTCCCCTGTTCAAGCTGACTTCAAATATACGTCTCTGATTCTCAATGTGATATAATCTGTCATGTAAGTAATAAGCTATTGTTCAATTTCTTATTGTGATTGTCTGCCTTAAATTAACTTGGCTTCAACGAATATAGTGCTGTCTAACTACTAACTCGGTTCAAAGACCGTAATATTCACTATAGCCTGTGACGATTTATGAAAACCACATGTTTTCGGAGGTGTGTCCTTATCAACCAATCAAAAAGCGTTTCACAAAATGTCATGGAATACAACTTCGTAAAGTGACCTTGAACTCCACAGAAACCTGGGAACGTGGGTTGGGGAAAGATATTGACCACACAGGCTTATTATCTCTGCAAACTGCCCCAGATTCACAATGTTTGCAAGTCGTCAGCTCGTCCGATATTTTTCGACCTCCAAGGTAAGGCTGATAAAATTATCTGCTTTACGTGATACTCTTATCTCATAGATAGTCTACGCAGAAGTGACGTAGAAAATTTCCATTCATGCAGAGATCGAGAGTAACTTTCCCGGTCCACGCAGCATACCGGCAAGGTCTATGAACAAAGTTTTACGATGTAATTGTTCATGTAATTCTTTCCCTCTAGTCGTGCATAGAACACATTATTTAATTAGTTTCAAGTGTTCACGAACCATATATGATATAATATGAAATTAAAGAAAAAGCTAGAGAAACCGTTAGATTCACCGGTAGACTTGCTAACCGGTTAAAATCAGCTGTATGGGCGAGGGAGGTAAATTCTACAATATTTTCTTTTGGGTTCTTAGTAAACCCGTATCAGAGTGTGTTTTGAAGTCGACATAAGTCTAAAATGTCTTTTTGTAGAGATGTTTTGATCTCCAATATGTGGGGGAATCCCAAAAATTTGGGTTCAATAGGCAAACTGACCTGTAAGGTTTGTAGTCCCACTTCTAGAATAAAAAATATTTAGTGGAATGGAGTTATTAGGATGGGTTAGGTTTCTTATTTTCTATACAGTTGCTCTGGATTGATTCATGTACAGGCAAATGAATAAAATACACACAACCTAAATTCCATAACAGAAAAATACATTTTCCCATTATTTTATTAACATTCAGTGTCAAGCATTCCTATTTATCTTTAAAGAATGACATATTTCTACAATGTCGTCACCTGTCTCCGACAAATGACCAGTGTGGAGAGTACTAGCATCAATACCATCATCTAGGTTCACTAAGGACGAAAATAGTGTGATGAGTTGGTAAACAGACAATAGAGAAAATGTTCACAAGATGGTAACAACGTACTGAAGTTGATTCAGCTTTATGTTTTAAGGATGTTGTCATCACCAACCCGAAGAAAATGTTTTGAAATACATTTCCTCGTTTACTTGTAATTAAACCATGTTTTTTTTTTTTTTTTTTTTGAAAGTAGGCAAAATGAAGTGATATTAAACATTGCCCACTTGAAAATAAGTGACGTTATCAGATGTTGGATTACATAGAAAATATAGGGGAAAAAATCAGTGTTTCAAGAAAACGTGACATTAACCGTAAAGTGACATTAACAGACATGACATTAAGTGGGTTCCAATGTATATCATTTACACATGATAAACAAAGAAATACGCTAGTATGCTTAAATCAATAGAATGTTATGTGACACTTCGCATGTTAAATGTTTAATTGGATATGCATGGTACAGCATGATCATAACTTTTCAGAATGAGGTATCTGCCATGTTAAAGAGTGATTATTCTGTAATTACTCATCATAATCAGGTATATGATAATATTTGTACATACATTATCATCAGATCTATTTTTAAACATTCAGTTGATAAACAAAAGGAGAGCTGGACTTTTCTGTTACAAGTAGGTTATCAGTGATGGCAATGTTTGCTTACATTAATGTAAAGTCACTACTTGAGAATGATTATTTGTAAAAAGATACACCAGAATACATATATTATCACAACAATGGTTGTCAGCAAGAAGTATTTGGTATTACTGATGTATGACTGTCACGTTTTACAGAAAGTAGGACATATTCAATAGTAAAAAACCTGTAATGTAATATCTCGGACTACAATGTTTTTTATACCACTTTGTTGTCTGTAGTTGAATTTAAAAGCTGAAATAGGACGTTTTATAGAAATTGCACTTGTGGACTACACGGTTTTAGGACATCATTGAAAGCATTTGATTCAGTTAAGAGAGACAAAGATTTCAGTGTTTGTTACTTCACTTAACTTCATAGAATTCAACTAATTTTTGCAAGAAATATAACAAGACACAGACTCCAAACTCGTGAGTATTGATTTGATAGACTACTTTTTTTTTTTAAGGATTTGGAAACAAATATCTTAGGTGATAGTTTCTTCATCTTAGTAAAAAATTATATTTGAGTGAAAATTGCAAAAAAAAAAAAAAAAAAAAAACAGAAATGCACTGAAGTGACCCCTTTTTTTTCACCAGACAAAATATCCTCCAATTCATATCAAGGCATAGTCATGAAAAATAGAACATAGGCAATTTAAGTCATGCTTCAAAATTACATTTTTTGCATTATTATGCAGTTTTAAGTTTGTTAAATCTATATGAAAATAGCATTTACACAATTTTTTTGCATTATCCAAGTACCACTTTTTAAAAACTTGAAAATCTAGATTTATTTTTGAAAAATGTTATCTTGAAAACATCATAGAATGCTTGTAATTCAGTAAAAAATTAAGAATGAGAAAAAATGGATTGGATGTCTGTATCAGAAAAAGAAATGCAGCAACTTGTTGATTTTTTACTTTTAAATCACTTGTACTATTTAAATATTATCCCATCAAATATTATTTCATGATCAAAAGTTAGATTTTAGAAATCTTGGCCACCAGACCTTAACATCCTTAAGATAGACCTACATTGGAGCTTGAAGCTACTATAAGACACCAGTGAACTGCTATCATTGTTTGCCTTCAAACATTCAATGTATGCTATTGTTTATGTAAAAGAATCCTTTAAGAGCAGGTTATCATTACAATATCTGGTTACTGTTACCAATGATAAACCATTTCAATATCTGGTCACTGTTACCAATGATAAACCTTTTCAATATCTGGTTACTGTTACCAATGATAAACCTTTTCAATATCTGGTTACTGTTACCATTGATAAAGCATTTCAATATCTGGTCACTGTTACCAATGATAAACCTTTTCAATATCTGGTCACTGTTACCAATGATAAACCATTTCAATATCTGGTCACTGTTACCAATGATAAACCTTTTCAATATCTGTTCACTGTTACCAATGATAAACCTTTTCAATATCTGGTCACTGTTACCAATGATAAACCATTTCAATATCTGGTCACTGGTCACTGTTACCAATGATAAACCATTTCAATATCTGGTCACTGTTACCAATGATAAACCTTTTCAATATCTGGTCACTGTTACCAATGAGAAACCTTTTCAATATCTGGTCACTGTTACCAATGATAAACCTTTTCAATATCTGGTCACTGTTACCATTGATAAAGCATTTCAATATCTGTTCACTGTTACCAATGATAAACCATTTCAATATCTGTTCACTGTTACCAATGATAAACCATTTCAATATCTGTTCACTGTTACCAATGATAAACCTTTTCAATATCTGGTCACTGTTACCTATTTTAAACCATTTCATTATCTTGTTGCTGTTACCAATGAGAAACTTTTTCAATATCTGGTCACTGTTACCAATGATAAACCTTTTCAATATCTGGTCACTGTTACATTACTTCTGTATCTTCAATAGGTCTAAACAGCTGCTGTTGGTGGTTGATGGTGATAGCTTAATTAGTAACTATATAAATAAGTAGTTAGCCACATATTTCCATCTCTGTGACCAAGCCTATCACTAGGCGTTTCTATAGTCAACAATGATCATTAATATTCTGTGAAGGTGACCTGCACACCCCCTTGTGGTGTGAGACTGTCTGTACTAAGTCTGGATTTTTAATAGTTGTAGAAGACTGTTCCCCGTCCTAATGTTGACTTAACCTAATGATTTCTGGAAGTCATCGGTCACCACATATCCTATGGGGGTTCCTTGAATAAAGGGCCTGGGAGTCATAAGTTACCACATCCTGTGGGGGGCTCCTGAAAGAAAGGGGCTGGTAGTTCATAAGTTCCCACATGTCCTGCGGTGGGTGGATCGGGGGTGGGGGGCTCCTGAAAGAAAGGGGATGGCAGTTTGTAAGTTACTACATATCCTCTGGGGGGGGGGCTCCTAAAAGAAAGGGCCTGGGAGTCGTCAACTACCAACTGTCCTTGTGGGGAGGGGAGGGGGAGGCTCCTGAAAGAAAGAAAGGGGCCAAAGGATTGGCACTTGGTTAACACAGTGATCAATTTGGTGGATCTGTTAGGAATTTTGAAGGTATCTGATTTCCTTATGCTGTTTCCATCATTATTGCATAATATTGAAAATGATTATTGTATGATTGATATAGATGTGGAAGATTTAAATTTATGAGTAAATACTTACTTGTTAATAAATATGTAGTAGCACAAAAAATGAAGATAATGCAAAAAGAAAGCGATATTGTACTAATGTAGGGTCCTGTTTTCTTGTATATGTCTTGACACGGCAAAATTAATTTCACGAAAAATGACATTAGGTCCTGCAATCTGTATTTGTCTTTACCATAGATGTCCATATGAGACAACATATTTTTACTTTGCATTGGTGTGTATTAAAATTTCATGTAGACCACTTTCACCAATAGTTATGCATGCAGATGTGAAGTTTACCTAATTTTAATCTTACCTTACCTTGATCTAGTTGTATAATGATAAGTCCATCAAATCTGATGCTGATTTGCAAATAAAGGTAAAATGTGGTTTTTTTTATGCCTGTGTACTTTTTGGAGCATAGATATTGGTTTTCAATTCATTTTGTTGGTTTAAATGCTGGGTTTATCTTCCTATGTAAAGCTAGGGTCATTTCGACGCATGGGCTTACTGCAGGTTAAATACAAGTTATGAAAATTGTAGTTGGTTTTGGTCCCATGCCTGTGTGCTTACTGCAGTTAAATACAAGTTATAAAAATTGTAGTTGGTTTTGGTCCCATGCCTGTGTGCTTACTGCAGTTAAATATGGGTTATGAAAATTGTAGTTGGTTTTGGTCCCATGCCTGTGTGCTTACTGCAGTTAAATATGGGTTATGAAAATTGTAGTTGGTTTTGGTCCCATGCCTGTGTGCTTACTGCAGTTAAATACAAGTTATGGAAATTGTAGTTGGTTTGGTCCCATGCCTGTATGCTTACTGCAGTTAAATACGGGTTATGAAATTTGTAGTTGGTTTGGTCCTATGCTCATGGGCTTACTGCAGGTTAAATACGGGTTATGAAAATTGTAGTTGGTTTGGCCTAATAAGATTATCTGTATAGTATGATAGTAAATACTTGTGTGATAAAATTGGCCTTGACCTCTAAACTGAGGCACACATGAATTCATTGCATGAAACTGTTGACATTCTGAGGTGTTCCCAGTATCAGTATCATTGAGTGGGGTGTCGCCAGTGTCTAGCTTTGCTTACACCTGTTCAGTGATTTGTGTATGTGTGTTTACCAGTTTTCTGAAGTCCAGCAAGGTAGGTACATGTACATGCATATATGCTAGATAGAAAATCACCAATTTTCTCTATAGCCTGTTGACAGCTAGAAATTACCCTTCAAAGTTTAATTGGTAATAGTTGTAAATCTCTTTGTTGAGATAAATAGTGTTTACTTACAAGCCAAAATTAAATACTTAAGGTTTTGAATGGTGATATTTATGTTTAAATGTTTGAAATTTTAAAATCGATAATAAGTGGTATTCATTAGATTTGGAGATAGCTCTGTAAACATGTTGGACTTTCAAATATTTGTTGATATGCAGGAATTTAACAGTCAAAAATAGCAATCTGTTACCAGATGTACTTTAGAACATCTGTTGACAAAAACCTTGGTCAAAAATGTGAATTATTCAAAAGATTTGTTTATATCAGAGGAATTTTATGTATCAGTACAATATTATACATGAAAGTCTGTCCATTTACGATACATATTTGTATACTCTTAAATGTAGAGAACTTTAACAAAAAAAAGTTATGCATTAAGTATAGATTTATTTGTAAAAGTTCTGTGCTTGAATATAATCAAGGAATCTATGATATAAACCTAGAGATTTCTAAAAAAAATCAAAGGCAAAAATAAATTCATCAGTTAGTTCGCTTTAGGTGAAAATTATATATGTATGTCAAGAATGGGTCTGTTTCAATGCATTTTATCTTTCTGTGTCTGTGATAGTAGCAAAGGTATGTTGTATTCTCTGTAGGTCATAGGTCAGAATGTATGTCGAAGAGGTCAGGTTTTCACGTTCTCAATCAGATCAAGATACCAGGTCGTGCTTATATATAGATACTATGTATGACCTGATTTATTCTGAAATAAGCTCTTGTCTGGTAATAAGCCCACCTATATACAATGCATACTGCATATTGCAGTTCAATGAAAATGTTTACCAGTGCTAATTGATAGTCCTGTAATAAGCCCACCGCCTCATTTAAGAATAAAAGTGATGTGCTTGTCCTCTAGTGGGTACTTAAAACATAAACGTAATATAACCTGCATGATATATTGAATTGTATTGTTGTGGAGTAATTGTTTTTATGGCAGGAATTTTTTCTTTGAAGTTGTATGTAGAATGTTCCAGTCTTTGACAGAGGAACTGAGCCCAATATATGATTTGGGAGTAAATATTTAAAACTCTTCCCCTTGAATAGATGTAGGGACAAATAATCTTCTGTAATTTTGGTTTAAGAGTGTTATTGATAAAGACAACTTGATTCGTAAATGTCTCATAGACAACACCAAAGGCGTACGTGAGATTCCTTTATAGTCTAAAAATCCTGGTTTCTAACCTGGTCCTCTATCTGTAAGGATTGATAATATATTAGGAAAATAAAAATAATCTGCCATTATTTATACGTTAAATGTATAGTACATAGGCACTGCAGATTGACAAAAGCTTTTTACCTTGACATCCAACCTACAGTACATAAAGTAGTCGCATTGATAACCGATTTCCTGGTACATGCCACGTATCGGTGTTTAATGGAAGATTGTCTGAGGCTTACATCAACAGTCTCCAGTTTTTTCAAACCATAATTTACCTTTTATGTGGCGTTCTTAAACCGACATATGTGGATTTTGTTAGTCTGATAGAATTTACACGATCATGCTTGAAATTGTGCCAGAATGCTCCATGCATTTACATAATCAACAGGAACTCGAATTTAATCTATAGAAAATAAAAATAGAACATGATTCATGAATATTCAGTGAAGTCTTCAGGTGTTCTTATTAAATTACTTTGTTGAAATTTACATTATAATCTTCATCTTGAAAATACAAATTGTGTGCAAACTTTGACCTTGGATGACCTTGACCATTAATAGAATGATCAAAAAGACGTTTCTTGAACTTTTATCAGTTTTCAATCTGGATGGAGTTAGAAATGAAGCAGAGAACTTATAACAGTTTAAGATGCATTCAAAATACAACCACACACAAATAACTTCTAGACCGCTAGTTTTGTACACAAATTTAGATATTTCATTGAAATTCAGATACAGGTACACAGTATACTAGGTAATGACTGAAACTGTATCACACAGATGCTACATCCCTCTGGAACTTATGTTATTAATTAATTAAGACACATCTTGACAAACATTGCGAAGACACTGGACAATAAATGTAAAAGACACATCTTCCAAAGAACTGCTGTAGACACATGTATACAATAAGAAACCGTAACACATGGTTAAAGACATATTAGGACCGCTGAAAGACATTTAATTAAGATCTGCTTCTTTTAGGTTTATTGGTAAACATAGTTTTCATGGCACCATCAATTCAGTTAACAAACGCTAGCTATCAAAATGAATACTAATTGAAATACTGGTAACATAAGTTACCAATATCTTTTTGTCAGAATAACTGATAAAAAATTGTTTATGTTGTAGAATTGGTACAGTAACATGAAGATTGCTGTGATTGGTCAAAGTTTGTTTGGGGCGGACGTCTATCGCCTTCTACAAAAAGATGGACACAACATAGTGGGCGTGTTTACAGTACCAGATGTTAATGGCAAGCCCGACCCTCTAGGTAAGACTTCACAGTTACACTAATACTGTAAAACATGCATGGGACTATAGTAAATACATAGCGATGAGAAAGTACAGAATCTATGTGTAAATAATGACATATTGACACTTTATCAGTGATAGCATCTTATGAAATGTACCATGTATGATGTTGGATTGAAAACAAACAATATTAACATTAATGTACCGTAAGGTTTGTAGTTTTCCATTTGAGGGTTCTAACTAATATGGCATCTTTAAAACTAATGTTCTTAAATGCTAGCTAATGAAAAAAAATGAATAAAAAGTGTGTCACTCTGAAACTTTTTTCAAATTTGAAATATAACAAAAAAACGATTTTTGGGATTTGGAGTCCTGGTCTCATGCTCTTCCCGTGGGACTCGTTTAAATGTTTAGAATCCACTATATCTCTATACCTATTAGTATTTTGACTCACCGGAATTTTGAAACAGGTGTTGTGGGCTTCTGTGAAAAAATCCTACAAAAATTACTGCAATAAGGTTGACAATAGATCAGACAAGGTATCTTGTTGGTTAGTTGAGGTGAAAGACTCTCAATCTTGCTCTGAGATACCAAATCGTTTTATAGTTTGGATTGTTAGTTCTGATAACAGGTCATCACCTACTCACATTTTTTTCATGAATAGATAATTTCATTTTTTCTCAATGGAAGAGATGAATTTAATTAAGTAATTTAATTAAGTAATATACATCTAAGATCAGGGAGGATTTTAAAAATCTTTAGTATCCTGTCTTCATACATGATATAATTTTATACTTCAGAACATTTTTGGGAACAAAGTGTATCAAGTAAGGATAGTAAATTCAAATGTTTGAAGTTTTAGTTCTTTTGTTTTAACAGCGGCAGCTGCGGCCAGTGATGGCATCCCTGTATTTAAGTACAAACGGTGGCAGGTGAAAAAACAAGTGATTCCAGAAATTCTAGAAGAGTACAAATCTGTGGGGGCCGAACTCAATGTTCTGCCATTCTGCTCACAATTTATCCCAATGGATGTTATCAACTTCCCTCGGAAACAGAGCATCATTTACCATCCTTCATTGCTTCCTCGTCACAGAGGGGCGTCCGCCATTAACTGGTAGGCAGACCAAGCTATTATGTTTGTATCTTCAATTGAGTCCCTACTTTGTTTATCTTGCTGAACTTTTAATTATTATCTAGTCCTTAAATAGCAGTCTACCTGTATTATTTGCAGTTCTGATATATAGCAGTTTGCAGGTGTTTATGAATCATACAAGCAAATTTAATCATCTTAAATAGCTTATCTGATCTTCATTTTCTAAGTTTTACAATGGCAATACCATTGATCTTTCCAATATTTTTTTTGCTAGATATATATTTATGCTACATTCCAAGGAAAAATAAGATTAAAGCTTTATGAAGAATTTTTATGAATGAGATTCAAGCACCTGTTTGCTATAGACGTTGTACTTTTATTCTTGACAACAGGACTCTGATGCAGGGTGATGCTTCTGCAGGTTTCTCTGTGTTTTGGGCCGATGATGGACTAGACACAGGCCCAATACTGCTTCAGAGGAAAACCTTTGTGGACCCCAACGACACTGTTGATACCATCTACAACCGGTTCCTCTTCCCTGAGGGAGTCAGAGCCATGGTAAGGTTATCATGGCCTTTAAATCTCTTACTTTTCAATGGCATTAGGGGCAGGGACCATTTTTGTCCGCGGACTTTTGCAAAACTCAATGAAGCAATTTATGTTGTATTTATCTTTGTTTTGAATTCTGTACAGAAACATATACATTTTTGGCATTGTCATAGATCTATATTGGAAAGACAATAAATTAACACCATTATGAGGAACCATTATCATCCACTATTATGATCCACCATTGTGTTCCAGCAGTGTTCCCAACCATTGGGATCTGCCATTGTGTTACATTAGTGTTACCCACTGAGATCCACCATTGTGTCACCCACCATTGTGATCCACCATTGTGTCACCCACCATTATGATCCACCATTGTGTCACCCACCAATGTGATCCACCATTGTGATCCACAATGTGATCCACCATTGTGATCCACCATCGTGATCCACCATTGTGATCCACAATCTGATCCACCATTGTGTCACCCACCATTGTGATCCACCACGGAGATCCACAATTGTGTCACCCACCATTGTGATTCACCATTGTGATCCACCATTGTGATCCACCATTGTGATCCACCATTGTGTCACCCACCATTGTGATCCACCATTGTGTCACCCACCATTGTGATCCACCACTGTGATCTGCAATGTGATCCACCATTGTGATCCACCATTGTGATTCACCATTGTGATCCACCATTGTGTGATCCACCATTGTGATCCACCATTGTGATCCACCACTGGAATCAATATTGCAACCCAGCAACCCATCACTGGGACAGCACAATTTAAACAGATTGAACTCAATACACCTTTTTCTCCAGAAATTTGATTAAGTGTTAATTTACATTGACAGATTTCAAGAATGGTAGAATAACAGATCTTTAACTTTCATGCAATATAGACTTCAAAAGTTAGAGAGATGACAAGATGATAGACTAAACAATTCATGTATACCTACAGCCAAACTCTCAGGCAAAACCTCAACTACTTTATATCATATTTTGCATCACATATTGCTTAAATTAAGACTAATAAGTTTTATGTAGGTACAAAATAATGGAGGCAGGGATAATGTTGATTGAGTCACATTATACTCAAGTTTAAGTTTTGAAGTGTCAATGAAGTTATCATTGAAAGCACATGTATATCAAGAGGGGGTGTCAATTTATGTTTTACATTTTCACTATTAAAACTCTCTTTGTAGATAAAGACTTTGTAATATTAAATCTGTATTAAGGTATGTTCAGAATAAAATAGTTGTATAAAGTAGCAATGATATAAACAGATTTGTTTGTGTTTTAGGGTGACGCTGTGAGAATGATTACTCAAGGCACTGCCCCCAGTATTGTACAGAGTGAGGAGGGAGCCACATATGATGCCATGCTGAACAAGAAGGCTTTAGTGGAGGTACAGAATCTCAAACCAGCATGTGATTACTCCATATAACAATCGAATACTAAACTGAGTACACCATTTTAAAGGAAATTATGTGCATTTCAAAGATTTATCATAAAGTACTGTACTGTTTTCTCCATAATTGTGATTTAATTAATTAAATATAGATTTGTGATTAAATTGTCCATGAAGTGAGTTAAGTTTCTTTTGATATTTTTAAGATAAACATGGACCAATCGGCGTTGGCTATCCACAACTTTATCCGAGGGTGTGACAAGGTACCAGGTGCCTGGACAACTATTGATGGACAGGTGTGTAGTATTTATAATGTTACAACCCCTATATCACCTCATAGATTTTTCATTTTTGAGATAATTGATAGAACTCCTTTCCTGTTAGTGAAAGACAGAAAAATCTTCACCTAGGGGTTGAGCTTTTTAACTGTCTGCCCTGAAGCATCTCATTTCATTAAAACGATCTGGCTTTATTCTCACAATCTCTAAATTAGCTAGTGTCATTAATAAAGGAAACCTATTTAAAAGGCAAGCTCAATAGTCAGACTGTTCCATCTCATATGGTTACATATGCACATTACTGACAATGCAATTTTCTCAAACTTTGCATTAAATATGATAGAAATAAAGTAAATGAAGATTGAGGAGAGAATGAAATGGCTATAGGAGATATTTCATCATAGAATGGAAGTTTGTATAACACAACCGGTAGGAGATTAGAGTGTGATGTTTTGATGGCTACACAGTCACCTTCTCCTTGGATGAACTTCTATTCTATTGACATTACCAACCCCAAAAAAATTTAAACATAAATTCTAACATTAGTTTATACAGAACTTCAATCCTGATGATGATTGCAGTGACTTTCCAGACTCTAGAGATAATTTCATGAAAACATCCTTAAAAGTTGTTCTTAGATGATGACTGATCAAAATGCATGATTCAGTTCTACCTCTGTTAGAGATACAATTGTAGGCATTCCATCATACTGACCAAACTATTTCTTTTCTGTAGAAAGTGACCTTGTTTGGTTCACGCCTTTGGGACAGGATGGAGCCACTTGGGACCAAAGTGGATGTGAAAGGTGCCGCACAGAAAGGAGTTGTCCACAAGTACGGGTTGGCTCTGTATGGAAATGATGGGAAAATGGTAAGTCACTGATGCTACATGTTAGTAAGTGGTCCAAAAATATTACCTGGTTCTCTATAATAATGATAGGGAAATGGATTGGCTCTCTGTCTGTGATTAGGAAATGTCAGGTGACTTTGTGTAGTTAGTTAAGATCAGTTTACCCAGCCTTGTCTGTTTGTTATTTTGCTTAGACTGCGGTATTGATAATGTTTGTGTACTGGGGTTATCTATATATAAGTGTGTTGATTATGTTGTGTGTATCTCTTTTCTTGTAAATAAACATGAAATTTGGAATTTCCGCTCAATACTGAGCTTTATAGAAATAGAACACAACAAAACTCAACAAATTGAAGTGATTCGCCTTGTATACATGGCTCACTGGCCTACAAATATCCCTAAAATGGAAATATGTAAATACTTAGATATTCAAATAATTTCAGGTTACGATAAGAAGATTGAAATCTTTAATGCCAAAACCTTGGTCAAAAATGTAGTTTAAACCAATCAGAATCAAAGCACATTTAATTTCCTGTTGACCTAATTTCCAGTTTGAGGAGCAGTGCATACTCAAACATGAAAGAAATGTATTAACACAGGTCAATAATTCATTGTTTATTTAGAGCTGTTATTGCTAACCACTGTAAACTTTAGCTAATAACCGATTTTTGTTTTTAAATCTGACCTCTTTTTGTGATCTTTTTTTGATGTAGGTGAATGTGACCCAGTTACAATATGAAAATGGGAAGATGATACAGGCCTGCAAGTTTGGCAAGGAGGACTTGTCACAGTCAAAACTGGAGCTCTCAGAAGAGGAAGAGAAAATGATAGCATCACTGAAGGTTTGTGCTTTAAAAGTGTGAAACCACCGGGCATTCAGGTTTTAAGTTCATTAAAATCATTTAAATACAATGAAACACTTTTAGTGTGGAGCGGTACAAAGTTTCAGGGACAGAAATATAACAACTATGCTCAGAAACATGTTTTTGGATTTGTTGAGTCATTGAAGTTTCTTAAAAACTTGAAGTTTTAATGTTGAGTATATGAAAGCCTTAATACTTTATCATGTGTATCTATTGTTTTGACACATCTAAAAACTCTCCTCATCATCTGTTAAGTGCTATGAAAGAGGGACATAACACAGATTAAGAAAACTTGATTGCTGAAAAGGGAAAGTCCACAAAAATGCTATAAAAGACTGGGAATACTATAAATTGAGAAAATTGGTTTTGTAATATGCTAAAAGCATCAATAAATGTTTGAGTTTGAATTTTATTTTGATGTAGAGAGTATCAGAGTCAGTAGCTTCATAATGTTTACTATATCTTCACTATTTATTCTCTATGCTTTTCTATAGTAAATAAAGTCTGAAATTCCAGATGGTTTGGCCCAGAAAATTGTTACCGGTCAACATTGATGTTAAATCACAGCTCACTTTCCGGATGTTACTCAATGATTTCTCCCTTTAAGCTTCCTTAAATGACCCTGGCTGCTAATTGGATATACTGCAACAATAAACAAATAAACAATAGTTCAAAGTTCAAAATATTTCACTATTACAAATTAATTCTCTTTATTACTTGTATCTGTATACTACACAATGGTATATATGATGTGTTGTAATCATGCTTATTGGTTTATATTTTCAGTCTGTATGGAACGGTATTTTAAATGTTGACATTGAGGATGGTACTGACTTCTTCAAGTCTGGAGCTGGCTCCATGGATGTTGTCAGGTAAGTTTTTTGAAGAAAGCACAGAAAAAAGTCTGTAAATTTTAATGATCCCATAGTCATAGTACCATATGTTGCTACAGCTAACAAGTAATTTAACAGAAAGTTCAATCATACGTACAACCTTGTCACCATTCCCAGTCTGTCAGTGAGCAGTTATAACATTCTTGCCACAGATGTACGCTGGTATTGACATCAACATTACTGTCCGTTTCTGTAGTATATTCATAGTATTTCTGGCTTTAATTTCAGAAGTTACTTTTGATGAATGAGTTTTACAGGTGTGTGAGTTAGTTACATGGTTACAGGTGTGTTAGTTAGTTACATGGTTACAGGTGTGTGAGTTAGTTACCTGGTTACAGGTGTGTGAGTTAGTTACATGGTTACAGGTGTGTGAGTTAGTTACATGGTTACAGGTGTGTGAGTTAGTTACATGGTTACAGGTGTGTTAGTTAGTTACATGGTTACAGGTGTGTGAGTTAGTTACATGGTTACAAGTGTGTGAGTTAGTTACATGGTTACAGGTGTGTGAGTTAGTTACATGGTTACAGGTGTGTGAGTTAGTTACATGGTTACAGGTGTGTGAGTTAGTTACATGGTTACAGGTGTGTGAGTTAGTTAGGTGGTTACAGGTTTGTGAGTTGGTTATGTGGTTACAGGTGTGTGAGTTAGTTAGGTGGCCTGTTAATCATTGGTATCTCCGGTAAAGAAAGAGTTGTCTGTCTTTATAGGTTGGTAGAGGAAGTAAAGGAGAAATGTAACGGTACCACCCTCCAAAATGAGGACGTGTACATGAATACCACATTTGAAGATTTCTCCAGCTGCGTGATCCGACGTAGTCGAGGAATTGAGGATAAGGAACCATTTGTATTTGATGCGGTTTGTATCCTTCATTCAAAAGATCTAATCATCAAACATGTATTCAAATAAATCAGTTTAATATTGTACTTAGATTGGCACTACAGAATATCAAAATAGCTGCTTTTGAACAGTTACTTGAAACAATTTTTCTTGCTCTTTCATATAACTCATCAATATTTTTGTAGTTATTTAACAGAACTATTATGCTCTTATAATTATGTACAGGTAAAATATTCATAAGAAATGATGGCTTTTTAACAGAGATTGTTGATGAATTCTAAGAAATGAAGTGGTGGGTAATTTTTTTATCTGATTTTACAGGTGAAGATGAGGGCAAACAACATGGATATTTCCTTTGCGCACCAACTTTTCATTGACAATGAATTTATAGACTCTTCTGATGGAAACACTTTCAAGACCATAAATCCTAGTGATGAATCTGTAAGTACTAGAAAGTCATTTTAAAGCACAAATTTTACTTTTGAAAAAAAAAATTTTGTGTCGAGAATACAGATTCTTGATCGCTGAAACTAGTCTTTAAATTGCTACAGGTAACAAGTTATGTCTAATAATGAGATTTGGTAAAATTGATTTCAAAGTTTCTATTTTAGATTTGAATATTCAAAGACATTTTTTTAACGTAAAACAAGCCGTAAAGTGAAGCTTTAACCTGGGTTGGTTTTGTTTCTGTACAGGTGATATGTGAGATAGCCAAAGGAACTCCGACTGATGTTAACCGAGCAGTGGAGGCAGCTAAGGTAAGTGCTGGCTTTAGTCGATATTCTTGACAATGGTTAAGTTCAAGTTAGTGGTCAGATCAGGTAGCAGAGGCAGCTAAGAGTCCTATTGGTCAGACATTCTGGACAGTGGTCAAGTCCTGGTTAAATATGAAATACCCATCATCTTACAAGGTCAACCTGTCCTATTTAGGGCAGTGATTGGTTCAGATAGCGGAGAAGAGTAAGACTTATCTCTCGTAAACTTCTGCAGTTGTGTTAGCTGTAAAATAAAAAGTAACTGTTACTTTGTAAACTTTTTCAGCTTTATAAATACATGTATAGCTTTGTTTATGGGATATTGGTCTGAATTTGGAAATTAATTGATTTAGGCAGCATTTTATGAAGGAGAGTGGGGGAAAATGAACGCCCGAGACAGAGGAGCTCTTATGTTCAAGTAAGTACAGCTCACAGTAAACAGGAAAAAAATATCTAATCAGAATGGCAATGACTTTACAATGAAGAAAAATAAATAAACATTCATAAGAGCCTTATGTACATAGTCATCACATATCAAGCTGGAAAGTAATTTGGAGAGAAAAAAAATTGTGCTTGTACAATGTTACATTTTGCTACTGCCAAGAATGTAAGTTACTGAGTTGTCTCCCTTGTAGACTTGCTGACTTGATGGAACAACACCAGGAGGAGCTAGCAACAATTGAGAGTATTGACTCTGGGGCTGTGTACACTCTAGCACTGAAAACCCATGTGGGCATGTCTATTGCTACCTTCAGATACTTCGCTGGCTGGTGTGATAAAATTCAGGTCAGTGCTCATTTTACAATCAGATTTTGAAGTCAGACTGGCTGGTATGATAAAATTCAGCTCAGTGCTCATTTTACAATCAGATTTTAAAGTCAGACTGGCTGGTATGATAAAATAAATTCAGCTTTGTGCTCATTTCACTGTAAGATTTGGAAGTCAGACTGGCTTTCTTTGTTATTTATTTCCAAAACGATTTTGTCAAGTATCTTGATCAAGTCTGATATCAAATTTTGTGTTTCAGCATTTGATTCTATCATAGCTATCTGTCATCAAAGTTGATACCTATAAAAAGTCTTATTGCATAGAGAACTAATTGAAATATGGTATAAAGATGGTATAAATGATATTGCTTTAATGTTACAATAGGGTTTGACAATTCCTATCAACAATGCACGACCAAGCAGGAACCTGACCTACACAAAACGAGAACCAATCGGGTGAGTACTGTGCAATGACTGACATGGTAAAACAACACATTTTATTGCACAAGACAGAAATCTTCACATTTGAATTCAAATTAAATTGCTTTGTATATATTTGACTTTGTTCTCTCATAATTACAGTAAATTTCAAAATTAATGAACTCCTGGATATCCACTTTTAGAGGGTTGCAACAGAATGTTTGAATAAAAAGCCTTCTCTCTTCCTAATTTTGTGTTTTGTTTCCTACAGTGTCTGTGGTATAGTAGTGCCCTGGAACTACCCACTTATGATGTTGGCCTGGAAGATGGCTGCCTGTCTGGCCGCTGGTAACACAGTGGTACTCAAGCCAGCACAGGTAAGCTTTACAGATGTTAAGGTGTCAGGAAAAATTTTCACTATTTGTCACATTGTCACAAGTAACATTTATACTCTAGTCACGTGGGTTATCACTACTTGTCACAAGTAACATTCATACTCTTGTTCTCACTACTTGTCACAAGTAACATTTATACTCAAGTTAAGGTAGGTTCTCACTACTGGTCACAAGTAACATTCATACTCTAGTTAAGGTAGGTTCTCATTACTGGTCACAAGTAACATTCATACTCTAGTTAAAGTAGGTTCTCACTACTGGTCACAAGTAACATTCATACTCTTGTTAAGGTAGGTTCTCATTACTGGTCACAAGTAACATTCATACTCTAGTTAAGGTAGGTTCTCATTACTGGTCACAAGTAACATTCATACTCTTGTTAAGGTAGGTTCTCACTACTGGTCACAAGTAACATTCATACTCTTGTTAAGGTAGGTTCTCATTACTGGTCACAAGTAACATTCATACTCTTGTTATGTGGGTTCTTACTACTGGTTACAAGTAACATACTCTTGTTAAGGTGGGTTCTCACTACTGGTCACAAGTAACATTCAAATTCTAGTTAAAATAGCTTCTCTCTTAATCAATTATAAATGATATTTATACTCCTGCTTATTGAGTAGGTTAGGTTCTCACAGCTTGTAAGAAATAACACACTCCAGCTTAGCTGTACAGAAGAACACACTACCATTACTCTCAGCCTCTAATTTAGATATCACTTTGCACAAGAAGACTGGATCATTTCAGATGACTTTGTACTGATATTTTTATGTTTAGGTGACACCATTGACTGCACTCAAGTTCGCTGAGCTCGTTGTGGAGGCTGGCTTCCCTCCAGGTGTCATCAACATTCTTCCTGGTCCAGGTAAATACCTGTATTACTTACCTTGCCCAGGTAAAAACATGCATCATAGGTGTAAAATGTTATGTTGTATACAGAATATGTATATAATGTGTCATTAAGTATCATGAGGTATACCAATACAGATATAGTCAGTATAGATCCTCCCAGTTAATGGGGACAGGCCTGACCCAGTTGTGTCTGAGTCTGTTTGGGTAGGGAGGTACAGTAAACAGCTGTGGTCCTTGTCGCTGAGCTTTTATCTGACCAGTGAAAGACATAATGAACTGGATCACAGCACAGACTTGATCATTCCTATGTCATTGTCCTGTAATTGTCATCTAAACTTCTTTCGTATTTTCATTTTTATATAATTTTATGGAAGTTTCTATGCTAAAAACTGATGCCTGGTTTGTTATAAGTTTAATGTGTATATACTGACTGATTTACATTGCACCACATGATACGTTGTGATTGGTCAACCCCATAAAACATGAAATAAACTTGGATAAAGTGGTTTAATTATCAAGGTGAAAGAATGGTATGTATACTAATGAAGTTTCCACAAAACCTGTTACCCTTGACATAATATCCTGGGTTTAACCTATGAAAGAAAATAACCTCCAATGTCTTTCCATCCTCAATATTCAAGGAGTTATGATCACTTTTGCTCTCTGTATCCCTCGAACATCATGACAAAATTGAAGGCTCAGGCAAAGTAATTTGATTGGTTCCAGACAAAAAAAACTGACCAATCACAGGCTGATATGCTCATTTTGAAGGATGCAAAGGAGCAACCCATACTTCATTACAATATACTGTTATGTGACATCAAGATTCACTCGATGTTTGTCTAGTCCACAAGGTGTCCTACATGGAACCTTCAATTTTGCCATGGCATGGTCCAGGGGTGCATAGAGGGACAGTGATCATAACCCCTGGAGTACCGATGATGTGTTGTTACTTGTACATGGTTATTTAGAAATTGATTCCTTCATTCAGTCAATAACCAATACATTGAAAATGTTTTATGATTATGGAGTAAGATAAATTTCAGAAATTGATTCAACAATATCAACCTATCTATCCACTTACAGGTTCATCTATTGGTCAAGCCATGTCAGAACACCCAGACATCAGGAAACTTGGCTTCACTGGGTCAACTCCCATCGGCAAGACCATTATGACAAGGTAAGAGGTCAGGAGGCCATGTTCTTGAATTGGGCATAATTAGGATTCCATTATTGTTAGTTCAGTCTCTGATAACAAGAATTAGTAATCCCCAAAGTAGTGTAGCACATGTTTAGTGGGTTTAACACTTACTTTTTTCATTTTAAAGGAGGGGAAACATTTCTAGGTTGTATGAAGATTGCCTAAAATGAAAGTAGAAACATTCAGGAAAAAAAGTGACTTGGAAATATTTAGTTTATTTTACTGTTAGTGTAATAGATATTTTGTAACATTTACTGATCTCCTAAAAATTTACTCTGTATTTTAGCTGTGGTAAATCTAACCTGAAAAAAGTGTCACTGGAATTGGGCGGCAAGTCACCACTCATCATCTTTAATGATTGTGACCTTGACAAGGCTGTCAGAATGGTAAGTCAAGGTCATATTGTAGACCATGTCTGAGGTGTGAAAATTGCTTATCATTTTAAAAATGCTGTGAACTTGATAAAATTTTCATTAATAATTACATTTAATGTGTTATGTCAGTTTTTATGACCATTCAGCAAACAAGAATATCAGGTCAAAGTTACATAACAAATGGAAAGTTATTCTGATTGGCTGTCATCTATGTGTAGAGGACATTGATTGGCTGTTTTTATGGGATATATTGATTGGCTGTATGAGAGGGAGGTATTTATTGGCTGTATGAGTGGGAGATATTGATTGGCTGTATGAGAGGGAGGTATGGATTGGCAGTATGAGTGGTAGGTATGAATATTTGTAGGAGTGAGAGGCATTGATATTATCAACTTATTTGTTTCAGGGATGTGGAGCTGTGTTCTTCAACAAGGGAGAGAACTGCATAGCTGCTGGTCGGCTTTTTGTGGAAGAGTCCATCCATGATGAGTTTGTAGCAAGAGTGGTATGTAGCAACACTAGTTACACTCCAACATCTGCTGTAAACATAGTCACATTTTCAGTTAACTTTTTATAAGGGTGCCCTGAAAATATTTTCAAAATTCCAGAAAGTATCTTGAATTTCACAATACCTGCATGAATCCTGATTTTCATTGATGAATAGGATTAAAGCTAAGCTGGTGATAACTCATCTCTGATTTTTTTTAACTGCATCTTGTTATTTCAGAAGTCTCCCCAAAATTGAGTGAAAATCTTTACTATGAGCCAGTATATATATACATATATATAACATTTCTAGATTTCCTATTATCAAAGCTTTCAGTGATAAAGGCACTCTATATCATATTCACAAGCCCAGAAATCTGATATTTTAATATCCAGCTTGAAGAAATTAAGAAAATGAAGATCGGTAATCCCCTTGATCGGTCAGTTGACCACGGACCCCAAAACCACCGTGCTCACTTAGAGAAGCTGCTGGAGTACTGTGAAATAGGTGTGAAGCAAGGTGCCACACTTGTGGCTGGAGGCAAACAGTGTGACATGCCAGGTAACTGAATTTTTAGTATAATTCACAGGAAAATGACATGACAACCTCTTGCTATGTTAACTGGTATTTTCAGATTGACGGAATGTATAGGGTGATGCTGTATTTAATTCAGGACATTTAAAGATATCACCAGCTTTGTTTATAAAAACCTAAACCTGGAAAAGATTTGTAATGTAAAGACAATGGAAATCTGTAACAGGGGAAGAATCTCCACAGCTTTGAAGCATGTTCTGGAAATTTGTCTGGATAACCTCCCTTTAATTGTCAAAGAAAAGATTTGTGAAGAGAGGCATGAACATATTTGCTAAAATTTCAAATGTTTCAAAAATTGATATAAAAGGGAACTTTATTGATGAACATCTCATCATTTCACTAATTTCATGTTGAATTTTTAATGCTAGAATGTAAATTTTTAATTTAATGATATAGTTTTCGCATTATAATCCTGGTTACCATGGATTTTGACCAGCTGTAGTTGATGAGTCTGTCTACTGATTCTTCTCCTGTAGGGCTGTTTATGGAGCCAACAGTTTTCACTAATGTGGAGGACCATACATTTATTGCTGAGGAAGAATCCTTTGGACCAGTCATGATCATCTCTAAGTTCCAAGATGGGTAAGTTAGAGAGGGTATAAGGTTTCGATGGCTATGAGAACATACGGGTAAATTTAGCAGTGGCAGCCTATTGTATGTATCAATAAAACCATATAAATTATTGTGTTGAAACATTAACCTGAAAAAATAAAATTTTAGTTTTGAACATACATTGTCATACAATTTTTTTTATTACAACATATTTTGTGTAGTTTGATACACAAGTTAATGTTTCATATGTTGATTTATGTAAGTTGTTGGTCCCAATGTTAGAACTGTTGATCTCTTTAATAGAGACATCGATGGTGTGATTCGTCGTGCCAATGACACAGAGTTTGGTCTCGCTTCTGGTGTGTTCACCAAGGACATCAACAAAGCCATGCATGTAGCAGATAACATACAGGCTGGTACTGTGTTTGTCAACACCTACAATAAAACTGATGTCGCCGCACCATTTGGAGGATTCAAACAATCTGGATTTGGAAAAGATCTTGGTAAGTTTAGCAAGTCAATTTCTTACTTTTCTTCATTTCTAAAATCTTATTATTTACATCCATATTATGTTCCAATATTGGACTGTGTGTATTTTATTGTGTCCCAGAAAGATTAGAAGTATTGGGACTTTCTGTGTTTAATTATGCACACCATGGAATTTCTAGGAAATTTGATCTGTAGTTGATAAAGTATCTAAAGGAATTTCATGACTTACTAAATTATGTTACAATTCTGAAAGAAATTCATGGACTTAATCATGTTTTATTTTGTCTCTGAAACCAAAAAAAATTGTATGTCAGTTTCTGACCAATAGCATGCGTTCAGCCCAAGCTGGGTGTCGTCAATCTCCTCCTACTCAACGTGTTACCTGTTGAGAACAGTTAATTATCAAATTAGCCAAGTCTTTCATGCTTGTTAAGTCAGGCACCTGTGTGAATTTGTTTACATAAGGTAATTAAATATGTCAGGGTCACGATGATTGTGGTTTCCTAATTATCAGTGGATCAAACCACAACTTTTTCATCGCGGTAACCAGTAATCAATTAATTTTTCTGTAGAAAACCTTTTTTTTTGTTTTTTTGTTTATCTGACCCCAAAAAAGTACCTGCGCATTATACCCGCAAATTTATGGTATTTAATCGTAATGTTCATGGAATCCAGATAATAACACTTCTGGCCAAGTTTTGAGACCTTGTGACCCTCAAACAATAAGATTAACCTGATGAACTGTAAGGTCCAGCTAGGTCGAAGGAATTCCAGTTCTTATCTTCTTTTTTTAATTGGCCAATGCATTCTAATTGTTAACATTGGTTTTAAAGCCTTATTAATTGGAACTTGTCACAATGCAACCAATGTCGGAGTGAACGCCATGCCTCCAAGTTTTCCGACGTGCCATCGTAACTTCTTGAAAATAAGTCTTAAAATGCATACCAGGATCAATTTAAAAAAGATTATTTTGCAAAAGACATTTAAGAAAATAATCAACCATGAACTGTAATTAACGAAAATTTGTGTTTGTTTTTATTCTTTTTACTATGACTGAAGGGATACCAAACCACTGCTTGTCAATGTCATCATTACGAATGTCGCCATCATTAAATTTATGAGATCAAATTTCCGATACAAAGCTTAAATTATTAAAATAACTAATTTGAACTTCAGGTTTCACGAAATGAAGTCTGAATTAAGCATAATTTATCATAGAAAATTATCACACATGCCCCACATCACTGGGACACTTGTCTTTGCTGTTATAGTAATCATTTTTCACGGATGATTTGTTCAGGGTTAAAAAATGGATCATATTGAATGAGGATTGGTAACCCAATTGGTCATAACATCAGAATGTCGATGTTTCAATATATTTCAAATTATTAATTGTTTAAATTACCACGAGCACTGGTAAGGTAAAATGTTCTGAATCCTGGGTTTCCCTTTGCCGTGTTTATTAAAAAATTACCACTTATTTAACAGCCAATGAAAGATGGCATTCCAAAGGTGAACAGGTCACACGTTATTGGCTATTTGGGTCGGCAAGGATCGAGTTGCCATCTTTAGAACAAATTTATCAAAGGTGCAGATATACTGTATATATACCAACTTTGTGATGATACAACAATACGAAGCCTACACTGTAATGGATGATAAATTATACTGCAAAACATCAGCTGATGACACGGTAGTGTCACATACGAATCTGACCACGTGTAAACTGAATATGCCATGAATTGCCATGATAGTTCACGATAATTTAGATTGCAGTTTAAATATTTCAAAGAATAAACAAAGAAAAGTCAAGGAAAATAACTGTTCTTATCAGAAAAACAAATTACAAATTTATTGTCTTCAAACAATTTTTATCAGAACCAAGTCAGTTTGGCACATCTGAAAATTAATTTCCGAGTTCAGATGTCCGGAGGAATGTGTCTACTGTTAATGTCTTGTTCTGTATATCATCACTTTTTCCCCTGACAAATAGAACATGATATTAAGGGGGGGTTCACAGAATTACAATTGATGCAAACATGAAGTACATAATTTTACACGTCAGATGACCTCTATGACACCGTTAAAGCTATATCTCAAAATCACCATAAAAAATTAAATTTTGAAGGTCAAGGGTAGTTATTCAAATCTTGCAAAATTTCCCCCAAGATGTTTGGAAAGGTCTTATTGTAGTACTCATCATTTTAAACAAATTGGGCTTGAGATGAATGTGAAGACAGCCTCTGAGTTTGAGAGTGACTGTGAGGACAGACTCTGAGTTTGAGAGTGACTGTAAGAACAGACTCTGAGTTTGAGAATGACTGTGAGATCAGACTCTGAGTTTGTGAATGACTGTGAGGACAGACTCTGTGTTGGAGAATGACTGTGAGGACAGACTCTGAGTTTGAGAATGACTGAGAAAAGACTCTGAGTTTGTGAATGACTGAGAAAAGACTCTGAGCTTGTGAATGACTGAGAAAAGACTCTGAGCTTGTGAATGACTGAGAAAAGACTCTGAGTTTGAGAATGACAGTGAGGACAGACTCTGAGTTTGAGAAGGACTGTGAGGACAGACTCTGAGTTTGAGAATGACAGTGATGACAGCCTCTGTGTTTGAAAATGACTGTGAGGACAGACTCTGAGCTTGAGAATGACTGAGGACAGACTCTGAGCTTGAGAATGACTGAGGACAGACTCTGAGTTTGAGAAAGACTGAGAAAAGACTCTGAGTTTGAGAATGACTATGAGGACAGACTCTGAGTTTGAGAATGACTATGAGGACAGACTCTGAGTTTGAGAATGACTGTGAGCACAGACTCTGAGTTTGAGAATGACTATGAGGACAGACTCTGAGTTTGAGAATGACTGTGAGCACAGACTCTGAGTTTGTGAATGACTGAGAAAAGACTCTGAGCTTGTGAATGACTGAGAAAAGACTCTGAGTTTGAGAATGACAGTGAGGACAGACTCTGAGTTTGAGAATGACTTTGAGCACAGACTCTGAGTTTGAGAATGACAGTGAGGACAGACTCTGAGTTTGAGAACGACTGTGAGGACAGACTCTGAGTTTGAGAATGGCTGAGGACAGACTCTGAGTTTGAGAATGACCGAGGACAGACTCTGAGTTTGAGAATGACCGAGGACAGACTCTGAGTTTCAGAATGACTATGAGGACAGACTCTGAGTTTGAGAATGACTGAGGACAGACTCTGAGTTTGAGAATGACTGTGAGGACAGACTCTGAGTTTGAGAATGACTGAGGACCGACTCTGAGTTTGAGAATGAATGAGGACTGTACAGTGAGGCAAAGGAGACATTCAATAACCCACAACGAAATAATAAAGGAAATTCAAGATTCATAGGCACAAAACTTAGAAATGTTCATTCATACAGTTAAAAGTATGAATATTTATAGAACAAGATGGAATTCATGCTTCAATTTAATTAACAAGTTTGAAATGGGTTAGGATTATATACAGAGAGTAGTTTGTTACATGTGTTGTTGTCTTTACATATATACCTCTCAGCTTTGTTCAAATACAGAACATGACTCCAGCTGGGTCCTTGGCATTGCCACCTCTAATGTATAGAAAGGAGTGGGCTTCCTTACAGTGTTGAGATACTAATTGTGTTATATCATACATGTCCTGCAGCAACTAGCTTGCTTTCATAACAGCAAGGTTTTTTTTGGCAATGCCAAATAAAATCTTGTCAAATTTGTCACTTGGGCAGCATGGCTACATGCTTTTAACTTTACTGTATCATCAAAAATGAATGACACTCCAAAAGGCTTTCTGTGGTCCTAATGTGGAGGCTTTCTGCCATGCTGAAACTGCAAATTTTATTCAAATTATAGCTTCAAGACACTTACAGAGTGCAATACTAAAATAGTCTGTTTTATTGGTCTTATATCAGCAATAGATTCAGTTCTGTACGTAAATGGAGGTTTGAGTCACTCACCAATATCTTTTCTGTTACTAGTATTTCATGTTTGAATTGTTTCTATATCTTGGTAAAGAAATAAAGTATACAGTGATTTCGAAGCAAACCTCATACTGTAAATATAAAGCAAACCTCATACAGTAATTACAAAGCATATTTCATACTGTAATTACAAAGCATACATCATAAAGTAATTACAAAGCAAACATCATACAGTAATTACAAAGCAAACCTCATACAGTAATTACAAAGCATATTTCATACTGTAATTACAAAGCATACACCATACAGTAAATACAAAGCATATTTTACACTGTAGTTACAAAGCAAACCTCATACAGTAATTACAAAGCATATTTCATACTGTAATTACAAAGCATACACCATACAGTAATCACAAAGCATATTTCACACTGTAGTTACAAAGCAAACCTCATACAGTAATTACAAAGCATATTTCATACTGTAATTACAAAGCATACATCATAAAGTAATTACAAAGCAAACATCATACAGTAATTACAAAGCAAACCTCATACAGTAATTACAAAGCATATTTCATACTGTAATTACAAAGCATACACCATACAGTAATTACAAAGCATATTTCACACTAGTTACAAAGCAAACATCATACAGTAATTACAAAGCATATTTCACACTGTAATTACAAAGCAAACATCATACAGTAATTACAAAGCATATTTCATACTGTAATTACAAAGCAAACCTCATACAGTAATTACAAAGCATATTTCATACTGTAATTACAAAGCATACACCATACAGTAATTACAAAGCATATATCACACAGTAATTACAAAGCATACACCATACAGTAATTACAAAGCATATTTCACACTAGTTACAAAGCAAACATCATACAGTAATTACAAAGCATATTTCACACTAGTTACAAAGCAAACATCATACAGTAATTACAAAGCATATTTCATACTCTAATTACAAAGCAAACATCATACAGTAATTACAAACTAAACCTCATACAGTAATTACAAAGCAAACCTCATACAGTTATTACAAAGCATTCATCATATAGTAATTATAAAAG